CACATAATGTAAAACACACAAAAAAAAATTCAAAAAATAATCAAATTGTTTAGACCCCGAACTAAAGCAAAAACAAAAAGTAAAAAGTAAAAAAAACCGTGAGCAAGCACGTTTTGACACCGCCATCTTTGGCGATTTTTAGTTCTTATTTGGCTGCACCAAATGAGTTAAAAATTGATAGGCGTGGACCTCACTTCATAGAGAACTCACCAAAAAACATTCAGAAAAAACAAAATATTTCTTAGGCCCCATAATAATTTGTGGCGGGGCCCGAACTCCGTTGGGTTCGGACCCCGTACGGGACCCCAAACGCCCGTACGTACGGAGGTTTGCCCAGGGACCTCCGTACGTACGGGCTGGTAACCTTGTATATATATATATATATATATATGTAATTGTTTTTTTTTGCTAGGTCGAACATACCTTGTCCAGTCTGATGTCCGACCAGACGTCCGGTCTGACATCCCGGACGGTAAGGGGGGTCCCGGACGTCAGATCCAACAACCTAGTCTGAAACCGAATTCCCTCCGGCCTGGATGCTTTTCTGGGTACCTGCGCACGGCAAGTGAGTGTATCCAACCAAGGGCCTGGGTGCGGTACCTTTGACTCTACAGTTGACTTTGACCCTTGAATTTCCTGTGTGCAGCGTTAGGTCACCCAGCCAAACGTGACGGACTCAGACCTGTGTGTGTCTTGGTCACACAGCCCAGCGCAGACGAACTCAGGTCAGCGTTGCCTGGGGCTGAGTTCTGGGCCCCAGGCTACTTCTGAAGAGGGTTACGGCAGATTGATTGGTTGGTTGATTGGTTGATTGGCTGATTGGTTCAATTTCTTTTTTTATTGATTTATTGATTTATTGATTGTTTGGTTGATTGATTGATTGATTGATTGGTTGATTGGTTGGTTGATTGGTTGGTTGATTGGTTGGTGGGGAAGGGGTTGCCTTTCCCCCCTCACGCACACACACACACACACACACACACACACACACACACACACACACACACACACA